AATATCACTTTTGCGTTGTGGAGGTATCTTTGATGTTGAAGCATTTGAATAAGAATATGAGGTGATCCATTGATAATTATTTGTGTCTAACATATATATATATGAATTCGTACTTGTAGGTGGTGTTAACTCATTAGTTATGTTACCTAATAAAAGTAAAAAAAAAAAGAAAAGAAATGAGGAAGATGCTTAATTTTTTGAAAGTAAGAATTTGAATTTACCGACCAAAAGCAACGATCATGTAATTCATGTAAAGGTCAGCGGTGTGACGTGTTAATGGAGGAGGAAGGTCCGGTCCGAACATTTGAACAGGTACTGACCACTCAAATGATTCTGTTTTCAACACAGCCAGCACTGGCATTACCATTCTAAAGGTATCGGACGATCCTCCATATATTATGACTCTTCCATCCGATGTTATTATCGCTGAATGACTATGCCTCTTTTCTATTACCTCTCCACCCGCTATCTATATAATTATATAGATTTTTTTTTTTTAAAAAAAAAATTTTAATTCCTTTTAAAAATCATGATTGCTATTTAATACTTACCTCCTTGTACCATTTAGCTTCAAATGTATTAAATAGTGTAATCTTAAACAATTTTTTTTTTTTTTCAATAAATCAATTATTATTATTAACGTTAACAAAAACGGTCACATGTTTTATAATGAATACCTCGTTCATTTCAACTAAACTCCTTGAAAATTGACCATTCTCTACCTTTCGGACATAACCACCAATAAAAGCAATCACCCCTCCATGTAACAAGACAGATGTATAAAGAGCTCTTGGTTCTCCAGGTATCATTGGTTCCCAACTAAAATCCAATGCGTTCAATATACGCAATTCCTCAAACCATATGTATTGACCCGAATCAGAATATTTGTTCCCGCCATAGATATAGACCTTATTACCTTCACCAGAAACGATATCCACACCGATTCTACTACCCGGTCCCTCTCCTCTTATGGTTGGGTTTATCCATTGTTGTACACTTACATCAAAAACATTTATAGGATTATTTTTCACTCCATTTGATTCCCCACCAAATAATATTATATAATCCTTTGAGGTCGTTGCGCTTGCCAATGTTAATTCATTTACCAAGTTGCTCGACATACCTATCCATGTTGGACTGAATGTATTAAATGAATTTTTCAAGTCTAAATAAAATATATCACTTGATGCATGTGATAGATCAGGAGTAGTAGACCCTCCTAATATGTATAA